GCACCTTCGTCGTCCGGGGACTTCTCTCTCAATGACTTTAGCAACACCGAAAAGACCGTCGGGAACTGTTGCCCGAAGGAGGGGTAGTGGCCGGGCGTGTGTGACTGGGAGGATGGCGGCGTGGATGACGGCGTGGAGGGCGGCGTGGAGGGCAGGTGGTGGTGGTGGGTGAGACTCAGGAGGTTGTTGGTGATGGTGGAGGTCGCGAGGTAAGAGAGCCACTGAGGGTAAGTCTCCTCAGAGGTCCTCAGTCTTCTCGCCTCCAAGTTTTCAGCGACGTGATCCTCAACCAGCCTCTTGATCCTCTCCTGGAACTCTGCCGCACTCTTCTTGTAGCTGTCCCACTCAACACCTTCCTCCTGGCCCCTCTTGTAGCTGTTCCACTCAGCACCTTCCTCCTGGTCCCTCTTGTAGCTGTCCCACTCAGCACCTTCCTCCTGGTCCCTCTTGTAGCTGTCCCACTCAGCACCTTCCTCCTGGTCCCTCTTGTAGCTGTCCCACTCAGCACCTTCCTCCTGGTCCCTCTTGTAGCTGTCCCACTCAACACCTTCCTTGTAGCTGTCCCACTCAACACCTTCCTCCTGGTCCCTCTTGTAGCTGTCCCACTCAACACCTTCTACCTTATCTACAACAATCTGCTTAAAAGAAGGTGTAACGCTTCCATAGTCCAAGTCCATCTGTATAATGTTACTCTCAACACCATGAACGTAAAGCAACAAAAACAACACCATTACTGTACGAATCATGACGAAGACTGTGAATCCACCTCACACACACACACGTTATAGTGAGTTCTAGTCGTTCCAGCACAGCAGACGGTATAAGTTGCCTTCTTGGTCTGTATCACCCCAAATACTACTTCAATGATACTAAAAACGTCCCTATAACTCACGCCATACACAATGCTGCCGTGGACCAATCATCGTGATGAGAAGCGATGATGCCAAGACTGATCTCCACCAATGAGAGACCAGTTCTTCCGTTAATACAAAGCTGAAGCAATCACAGAGGCGAGGAGCAGTGATGTCACGACTGATCTCCACCAATGAGAGATCAGTTATTCCTTTAATTCGAATCTCTGGAGCAAATGGGAGACCAGAACGGGGTTGAGGAACAGTTGGGGAGTATGAAGCTCTGTGGGTCAGTCATTACGGTTGGTAGTGTGGTGCGGTGGCTAAGGAGCAACACCTTGACAATGCTCACACCTGACCTAATGTACCGTCGTTCTAACTGTGAGGTGGATCATATGTGTACGTGAACTCTCTCTCTCTCTCTCTCTCTCTCTCTCTCTCTCTTTCTGTGAGGTGTACATGTATGACAATGGTGGCGTGTGAAGTGGTGGGTGTATGACAGTGGTGGGTGTATGACAATGGTGGAGTGTATGACAGTAGTGGGTGAATGACAATGGTGGTGTGACAGTAGTGGGTGTATGACAATGGTGGGTGTATGACAGTGGGTGTATGACAATGGTGGAGTGTATGACAGTAGTGGGTGAATGACAATGGTGGTGTATGACAGTGGTAGTGTATGACAATGGTATGACAGTGGGTGTATGACAATGGTGGGTGTATGACAGTAGTGGGTGTATGACAATGGTGGGTGTATGACAGTAGTGGTGTATGACAATGGTGGTGTATGACAGTAGTGGGTGTATGACAATGATGGGTGTATGACAGTAGTGGGTGTATGACAATGGTGGGTGTATGACAGTAGTGGGTGTATGACAATGGTGGGTGTATGACAGTAGTGGGTGTATGACAATTGTGGGTGTATGACAGTAGTGGGTGTATGACAGTAGTGGGTGTATGACAGGGGGTGTCGAGTTGACAGTTCTATGACGGTAGCGGGCGAATCATACAACACTTAAGGGTCATTACACACTAGAATTACACGGGTCGTACCAACTAAAGAAGATCAATTACACTCACTCGTATACCGTTAACGATCTACAATTCCTGTTAGTCGACCATTCTCGCCGTTATGTCGATAACAGGTGTCGTCGAATTGACTAACGGGTGAGAAGCTTGTTCGGAGGGTGTAGGTAAGCAGGTTGGCTCCCTCCCCCCTTTCCCTTCCCATCCCTTTCCCTCCCCTCTTCCCTCCCCCTCTCTCCCCTCCCCTTCCCTACTTTGTGACCGTGACCGCCATGAGGGGGAGGGAAAGGGGGAGGAGGGAAGGGTGTGAGCATAACGGGACCAGAGATGGGGGGGTTACCTGTGTGTCTGACCTCCTCTCTCTCTCTTTTTCATTAGAGAGTTTTGTGATAAATAACCAACAAGGAACATCAAGGAAGAACTCACAGATGCAACTAACAATGAAGAGTTACCCAGTCGGAAGTGTCACAGCCTTATTTTGAATCTTATATACTCCTTGTGGGGGACGACCAGCTGAGTGTGTGTGTTATTGGGGTCACGAGTGTCGATGTTAGTCACGATTTACACACACACACACACACACACACACACACACACACACACACACACACACACACACACACAGGGGTCTTCCTCACGGCGGTCAATCTCCCCCTTCTTCAGTATCTCAGGTAAACACGAAGGAGGAGGGAGACTTGCCAAGACCCTGTGGTAGTGTTCCTCCCCCAGAGTGATACAGTGATAGCGAGTGTTAGTGAGCGAGTTGTTATAAGTGAGGGCCATGGCCAAGTGTTAGTGAGCGAGTTGTTATAGGTGAGGTGCCATGGCCAAGTGTTAGTGAGCGAGTTGTTATAGGTGAGGTGCCATGGCCAAGTGTTAGTGAGCGAGTTGTTATAAGTGAGGGCCATGGCCAAGTGTTAGTGAGCGAGTTGTTATAGGTGAGGTGCCATGGCCAAGTGTTAGTGAGCGAGTTGTTATAGGTGAGGGCCATGGCCAATAACGAGTATATAGTAAGAAAGAGGTGAGGCCACTTAATACAATACATCATTTCAGGGTAGGTTGTATGGTTGTGTGTATACAGTAATCATATCAATCACCTCAATCACATAGTTGTTAAAAGGTAATAACAGATGTTTGTATTTGTTTACTCTGGGAGGAAATCACGTTGTGTATGTCCCTGTAAACACACACACACACACACACACACACACACACACACACACACACACACACACACACACACACACACACACACACAGCGAATCAGAAGATGAGATAGAGTGTGTCTGTGTGTGTCTGTCTGTGTGTGTGTCTGTGATCGTCTCCTGAGTCTGACAACATCTGAATCATCACCGAGTCAAGCAAGATGAAACTCTCCTCCCTCGTCCTTCTCTTCGTCCTCCACTTCGTCCCCCTCCTCCCCCTCGTCACAACATACGACAGGACCCTGGGTGACGACGATGATAAACTCCTGAAGGGGGGCTCCAGTACCACAACTGACGAAGGAGTGCCAACCCTAGAGACTCGTACAGAAGGAAGGTAAGGTTGATGCTATATAAGACGTGACAGTTATCAATATCAGGGCTTAAGTGTGTTTCAAAGGCCCTTGCTATCAGGGTCTAAGTGTGTTTCAAAGGCCCTTCCTATCAGGGTTTAAGTGTGTCTCAAAGGCCCTTTCTATCAGGGTCTAAGTGTGTCTCAAAGGCCCTTTCTATCAGGGTCTAAGTGTGTCTCAAAGCCCTTCCTATCAGGGTCTAAGTGTGTCTCTAAGGCCCTTCCTATCAGGGTCTAAGTGTGTCTCAAAGGCCCTTCCTATCAGGGTCTAAGTGTGTCTCAAAGGCCCTTCCTATCAGGGTCTAAGTGTGTCGCAAAGGCCCTTCCTATCAGGGTTTAAGTGTGTCTCAAAGGCCCTCTATCAGGGTCTAATGGGTCTAAGTGTGTCAAAGGCCCTTCCTATCAGGGTCTAAGTGTGTCTCAAAGGCCCTTCCTATCAGGGTCTAAGTGTGTCTCAAAGGCCCTTCCTATCAGGGTCTAAGTGTGTCGCAAAGGCCCTTCCTATCAGGGTTTAAGTGTGTCTCAAAGGCCCTTTCTATCAGGGTCTAAGTGTGTCTCAAAGTCCCTTACTATCAGGGTCTAAGTGTGTCTCAAAGGCCCTTCCTATCAGGGTCTAAGTGTGTCTCAAAGGCCCTTCCTATCAGGGTCTAAGTGTGTCTCAAAGGCCCTTCCTATCAATGTCTAAGTGTGTCTCAAAGGCTCTTCCTATCAGGGTCTAAGTGTGTCTCAAAGGCCCTTCCTATCAGGGTCTAAGTGTGTCTCAAAGGCCCTTCCTATCAGGGTCTAAGTGTGTCTCAAAGGCCCTTCCTATCAGGGTCTAAGTGTGTCTCAAAGGCCCTTCCTATCAGGGTCTAAGTGTGTCTTTCAAAAGTTCTTCCTAGGTGAATATTTTCGTCCTTCTTATAATTATGTTCTTGGTACTGACAGTGATGGCTTTCTTATTCGTCCTTCTCCTCTTTATTCGTCCTCCTTCTCCTCGTTCTCTTCTTCCCCTTCTCCTCCTTCTCTTCTTCCCCTTCCCTCAAAACTCGTCAACCCCTCCTCCCCTTCACTATCTCTCCTCCTCACCACCAGGTCAGGGAGAAAGAGGCGAGGATGGAAGGTCTACCGTCCATCACCAGAATCCAAAACTCGCCAGTCCACCTCCTCCTCGTCGGGTCAGGGATGCTCAGGTAGTGGGGGTATCTCCACCTTCACCTGGCTCAACTTCGCCCTCGCCGTCGGCCAACTAGCCACCAACATCGCCAACAATATCAACAACAACAATAACAATAACAACAATAATAATAATAACAACAACAATAACGACAACAACATCAACGTGGCCAGTAATAACAACAACAACAATAATGTCAATGATGTTCAATTTCAGCCACCCATGATGGGACGGTCCGTTCGGGAGGCTGTGAGGGTGAGTGTATGTCTGTCTGCTTGTATCTGTCTGTGTCTGTCTACCTGTCTGTCTATCTGTTTGTCAATTCATTAATCATTCTATCTATCTATCTAACACTACCCTATCCAACCTTAACCTAACCTAACCCTCCCCCTCAGGTGGCATTAGAATAGAAAATCTTCAGGTGAAACTGGGGTGTCTAATCTTCAGGTGATCCAATAGTTTCATGGAATTAATCAAGAATTAATAATACCTCATATTTATAGGAGGCTTCCGACAGGTGCGACAAAACAGCACATTATCACATCTGGTTTGTTTACCTTCCAGAAGTTCAGTATGAAGGGCGTGATGAGTGAAGCTTGTGTGAACCCCTCTCAATCCTCCCGGCGAATTAGTGAAGCAAACGCCCAGCGAATCAGTGAACCACCCGCCCAGCGAATCAGTGAAGGAGACGGTCAGGAGCTTAGTGGGTTAGTCAGTAAGCGAATCAGTGAAGCAGAGGACCAGATGCTCAGTGGTTCAGTTATTCAGCGAACCAAGGAACCAGCAAGGCAGAAGCGCAGTGAACCAGGTAGTCAGAAGGTCAGTGGTTCAGTCAGTCAACGAATCAGTGAACCAGACGAACTAGTGGCCAATCAGAGAGCTACTTCTGCAGGAGGTGGAGGAGGACGAGAAGTAGAAGAAGGAGGAGGAGCCAAGGCGTCCCTAGGAACCGTGTTGGCTCTTGGATTGCTACAACGAGTGGTAGGAGAGAAGGACCCACTGTGTGTCCTCCACGCCTTCTGTACCACTGCTAACACCGCCGCCGCCTCTACCACCATCCACGCCACTAACACCACCACCAATCACCACAACAACCACGCAATCACCGCTTCTGTCACCAGTATTCTCAGGTAATTAACCTTTGAATTACGATGATATATTTCTCAGAGTAATATGACCTTGTACTCTAGGGGTCAAGTCGTTGTACGCAGGGGGTTAAGTCGTCGTACTCAAGGGGGAAATTCGTCGTACTCAAGGGGTTAGTTTCAGTGGTAAGCTTTAAAGTGGCCTGGTTAGCTTAGGTTAGATTAGGTTAACTTCGGTAAGCTGGTAGGGTTAATTTTCAGGTGATTCTATTTCCCTATGATAATGATACAATACCTGAGTTAATATTTAAACTAATTAGAACACCTGTGTATCAAGGTGAAATGGACATCGAATACAGTAAAGCATTAAAGGATTTCGTAACGCCCTTGTATGGAATTATTTCATGAATGTTACTGTATTTTGAGTTCCTGTTTATTCACCATCATCTTCTCTTCCTCCTCCTCTTCTTCTTCTTCTTCCTCCTCCTCCTCCTTAGTCGCAGCATAGGAGGGTGGCTACTACGTCAAGGTCACGAGACTCCTGAAGGTGTAGACGCCGGGGACCTCCTGGCGGCTATAGCACTTGGAAGGGCCCGGCAACACTCCTGCACCACACTCTACCCCTGCACCCGCCTACACCCTCGCCTCTGGTGGTGACCTGTGAACCATGGTGACCTGTGACCTGAGGTGTTTAGTATGGTGACCTATCGTGACCTATGGTGACCTGTCATGACCTGGGTATTTATATGGTGACCTACCGTGACTCTAACCTGTCATGACCTGGGTGTTGAGTATAGTGACCTCCCATGACTCAAAGTGACCTGTCATGACCTGTGGTGTGTGTTAATATAATTGGTGACCTCTGATAACGTCGTATCTAACCTCCGGTGATCTTTAGTGACTTGTGATCTTCTCTGGTGACCTAATCTGGTCTATAATAACATGTGATCTGCAATAATGACCTATAGTGATCTCTGAGATGACCTATGATGCCCAGAGTAGATAACTGACGGCGTATATTGACAGGTGATAACAAGTGATGACCTATGATAACTTAAGATAACCTGGTCATTATAGTTAACGTTGAAGTATTATTACTGTGCTCCAACAACTAAGGTCTTGAAGGACGTAAACAGTGAGCATTATAGGAGATATAATTCCCTGGAGCATTATAGCCTAAATAATAACTGCTTTCTCCCCACAGTGATAGAAAGACAAAAGAAAAAAAAAGAAAATACGAAGAAATATAGAAATTAAAACAACAAAAATATAAAAATATATAAGGAAACCCAAAAGTACTTAAAAGATAATATAAAATACACACAAAATAAAAGTAAAATTTTTTAAAAGACGACGTAAAAAAAATCCATTGGAATATTTAAAAAGTCTATGTAATGAAATTGAAACAAAAACTTGAGAAATTAATGAAACAATTGTGTTAATCTTATCTTTTATGACGACGAAATCTAGTTATTTAATAAAAGTGAGTGAAAGAGACATCACCAATATGAAATTAACTAGTGTGTTGTTTAGTCTGAGTAAAGTAGTGGTGATGATGGTAACACTGGGAGGTATACACAACGCGGTTATAGTGGCAGCACTGGGAGATGAACACAGTGCGGTGAGGGTGGCAGCACTGGGAGGTCTACACAATACGGTGAGGGTGGCAACACTGGGAGGTCTACACAATACGGTGAGGGTGGCAACACTGGGAGGTCTACACAATACGGTGAGGGTGGCAACACTGGGAGGTCTACACAATACGGTGAGGGTGGCAACACTGGCAACACGGTGAGGGTGGCAACACTGGCAGGTCTACACAATACGGTGAGGGTGGCAACACTGGGAACACTGGAGGTCTACACAATACGGTGAGGGTGGCAACACTGGGAGGTCTACACAATACGGTGAGGGTGGCAACACTGGGAGGCCTACACAATACGGTGAGGGTGGCAGCACTGGGAGGTCTACACAATACGGTGAGGGTGGCAACACTGGCAGGTCTACACAATACGGTGAGGGTGGCAACACTGGGAGGTCTACACAATACGGTGAGGGTGGCAGCACAGGGAGATGAAAACAATGTAGAATCTTACGCCGACGTTCTTAACACACAGTTGGGACAAGGTGTGATGGTAGGAACTACGAACACTACCGAGAAATACAAGAATCCATTGCATCAAGAACAAAAACAAAACAATCAAAACAAAAGAAAAACGAACAAAAACACAGCCAAATATAACAGCCCTGAAACGAAAGACGTGAAACAACAGCATCTAGGAATAAATAACGAAGATGGTGTCAATAACGTAACTAAAGTAACAATAACCAAACACAGTACAATAACAACTGACGGGAACTTTGTGAAGGCGTCTGATAATTCTTTGGAAAGCGAGAGAAGTGATCAAGATATTCCACTGAGGAGTTTAACGCCCTTCAGGAGATCTACTGACGAAGACGACAATGAAGGAAGAGAACAACAACAAGGAAGAGGACGAGAAGAAGAAGAAGAAGAAGAAGAAGAATGGGACAGAGAGCTTTACCAACACAGTATTGACCACGAACAGAAGACCATCTCTACCCGTGCCAATAATTCCAGGTTATATACATATGAATACGTTTTGATGATGATGATAATGATGATGATGATGATGATGATGATGATAATGATGATGATGATGATGTATAGTGGGGATAAATCATGTATAAATAAACCCCAAATTTTTATAACTAACTTAATCTTCTTTCTTTGGTATCCTTAAACATACATACATACATACATACATACATACATACATACATACATACATACATACACATTTAAATCCTTCATATCACAACGTCAAGATTAAGACACGTGTTAGCGACTCAATTTTATACTACAGACAGACAGACAGACAGACAGAGAAGGTGAATATGTGTCAGGGGTAAAGCTTAATTCCTTTGATAAGCTTAATACTGCAGTTTTACGACACACGATCAACAGCTTAACACATGCATTCAACACTCCAGTTTAACCTTGGACTCATTTGTACTCATAACACCTCCTCCTTGAGACACTAGTTTGAGCCTTAGACTCATTTGTACTCATAACACCTCCTCCTTGAGACACTAGTTTGAACCTTGGACTCATTTGTACTCATAACACCTCCTCCTTGAGACACTAGTTTGAACCTTGGACTCATTTGTACTCATAACACCTCCTCCTTGAGACACTAGTTTGAGCCTTAGACTCATTTGTACTCATAACACCTCCTCCTTGAGACACTAGTTTGAGCCTTGGACTCATTTGTACTCATAACACCTCCTCCTTGAGACACTAGTTTGAACCTTGGACTCATTTGTACTCATAACACCTCCTCCTTGAGACACTAGTTTGAACCTTGGACTCATTTGTACTCATAACACCTCCTCCTTGACAGATCAGGTAGACAGTACCCTCTGTGGCTACCTTGGCCCCGCCCCACTACCACCACCCAGGAGACGCCACCACTGGACCCCCTCGAGTACGTCATGCGCCGCCGTCAACGCCTACAGGAGAAGGACCAGACCTCCTCCTCCTTCGCAAACAGACGCAGCGGCTCCAAGAAGAAAAAGAAGAAGTGAGTGTTGTTTGTATCAGTCTTAGAGGGAAGAATGTCTTGGAGGAAGATTAGAATAATGTTTGACTGGATAAAGAGTAACACACAGACAGACAGGCAGATAATGCTAATAGGTAAGTAGGTCAGCTTAGTACTATTTAGTTAACCTAACCTAACCTAACCTAACCTAACCTAAACTTAACCTAACCTAAACCTAAATCTAACCTAGACCTAATGTAACCTAAACATACAGGGTCCAGGGAGTAACCTTCATGGTACCTAACCCAAGCCACGAGGAAGAGCTCTGCCCAAACAGTGGCGGGATCCAAGCCTTCACTCTCCTCAACTTCCTCCTCTCGGCCTCCTCCCTCGTCGCCAACATCCTCAACAACGCCAACAACAACAACAACAACAATAATAACAACAACAACAATAATAACAACAACGACAACAACATCAACGTCAGCAATAACAACAATAACGCGAATAACGTCAATAACATCGACTTAAACCAGATGGGGCGGCGTCGTAGAGAAGCTCAACATAACGTGAGTCTTTTGTTTTCTGATAGATAGATAGATAGATAGATAGATAGACTTCAAGCCAATTAGATTATTTTATGTAGCTACAATATCGTGAACTTGTAAACATTACCTGTGTCTCGCTTCATTCACAGGACACCACCACTCCCACAAGCAACAGCACCATCCCTTCGAGTGTAAAAAAAGATTCTAAAGGCAACATTGACAACAGTGCAGTCTCTACCAACCATACTACCCTCCCTGACAACGTGCCAGCCTTCCACGCCCTCCCTGACAACGAACCAACCTTTCTCACCCTTCCTGACAACAATTCTGATAACAAGTCAAACGTTCACATGGCCATCTCTAACCTCACTGCCAACACGTCACCCACGTCTACACACCCATACAACATACCGGTCCTTACCAGTCACCCTTCGTCAGTAGTACCACCAGTTTATTATACGACCAGCGATACATGCGGTGCTCCTACAGGACAGAGCCAGGTACAGGTCGCCCTTATGCTGGCAGTGGATTTGTTACAGGCTGCTTCTACCGAGCTGTCAGAGTATCACCTAATGGAGAAGAAGGCTTATCTAGGTACTGCTGTAGTTACAAAGAGGAATCGAAACCCTTCCTCAACCAGACAAACCTCTCCTCTGAACCTAAATGTAAACCCAGGGTGGAAAAGACATCCCTCTAGCTTAAACACCACAGATAAGGACTCACTCGCCTCCTCTGATCTCAAGTGGCATGAAGCCCCAGTACATATGAATCCCACCAAAAGAGAAACAGTTCTTCGTGTTCTTCACCGGCATGTATGTAGTGCCTCGAACCTCGCTGCCTTGACTGGTGCCGTTGCTGATGTCGTTTTCCAGGAGATGAGGTGAGTCTTGAGGGATAATTTATATAGGAAGGGTAAATAGTACTAGTTTTAACACACGTGGACATTATAGAATCTTTAACTGGTACTCAGAAATCCTTGCCAATGTACGTGTTTATTTTGTTTATGATTACAGAATGGTTGTACTCAGTTTCCTTCTGCCGGATATACCTGACGATACCATCCACGACCTGACCTTCTGCCCCACCAGGAGCATCAGCTGAGAAACCGTACCTACAAGAATATTCTAGACTCTGTGACTCTTGTATCTATGACAAGTGATCAGCTATGACAAGTGACCAGATATGACACGTGATCAGCTGTGACAAGTGACCAGCTGTGACAAGTGATCAGCAATGACAAGTAACCAGCTGTGACAAGTGACCAGCTATGACAAGTGATCAGCTATGACAAGTGACCAGCTATGACAAGTGACCAGCTATGACAAATGACCAGCTATGACAAGTAACCAGCTATGACAAGTGACCAGCTATGACAAGTGACCAGCTATGACAAGTGACCAGTTATGACATAAAATGACAAATATAGCCCCCAGGTATTTAGGGTGTCTAATCTTCAGGTGAATTAAACCGGGGTGTCTAATCTTCATGTCGGTGATCTAAACTAAGACCCACGCTGACCTGCACTGTCTAACTAAGGTCAAATGATTAAAAATAATGATAAGTTATGACCCGGAAAACAGTGGCGCTAATCCCGTACATGAGCCGTAGTTACAGGCCATTATCGAGACCAGGTAATGACGGGTTAGGGAGCGAGAGGTCAGGATTAAAACTGGATGGATCAAACACCTTGACGGACGCTTGGTATGACCTACCTGACGAAGGCGTATGATTGTGACTGCCCGATAAGACCTACCTGACGAAGGCGTATGATTGTGACTGCCCGATAAGACCTACCTGACGAAGGCGTATGATTGTGACTGCCCGATAAGACCTACCTGACGAAGGCGTATGATTGTGACTGCCCGATAAGACCTACCTGACGAAGGCGTATGATTGACTGACTGATAAGACCTACCTGACGACGGTACATGACTGATTAAGACTGACTGACACAAGCGTATGATTATAACTACCTGACGAGATCTACCTGACGAAGGCGTGTGATTATAACTACCTAATAAGACCTACCTGACGACGGTGTGAAATAAATCAACACCAAACACACAACTATAACAGACTGTAATATAAAATTCAATGAAGGGGAATGAATAAAGTGTTTTTTAATGTAATTGTTCTTTTTTTATTTTCCTTTTTATTTTTTTTATTTTTGTGTTAGGTTAGGTTAATCTACAGGTGAGGTTAGATTAGATTAGCAATAGATTAGGGTAGGTTAGCATTAGGGTGGTTAATCTTAAGGTGAAATATGCTAAGAGAGAGAGAGAGAGAGAGAGTTAAGCTTGAGGTAATCCCCAGACACTCATTATAAACTTCGCTAAACTCTAAGTAAAGGTTATCGCCATATGAATGACCTTCCTCCCCCTTGATGAACACGACCAATGAGAGACGCTATTAGTAATTAGACAGTGTTTTCTACCTGTAATTAACAAAGGGCCACACCTAGGGCTTTTAAAAGTTCAAGGTGCCAAAATGATGATAAATATCCCTGGACGAGAGAGAGAGAGAGAGAGAGAGAGAGAGAGAGAGAGAGAGAGAGAGAGAGATGACGAAAACTGACTTACCTCTTGAGTCAGTTGTCCAGTATAACAGACGACTCCGGTTTGGCCTGGCTCTTCGCTCCAGTATTTGAGTCATCCACACAATTGACTGTAAGAGAAAGATATATACGGTCAACACTTATACGGTAAATATACAGTCAACTTAAAACACAGTATCCCTGACCCACTGTTAATATAACCTTGGATTAAACAATTTAAGTTTCTCCTAAAAATTTCAACATAAACAATATAACAAAACAAAAACAAATCCTCTAATAATAGTTTTTACATTCAATTATTTTATATTATGACTTTAAATCCTTCTACAATGACTTCTTTCAGGTTAATGTTTTTCTTCCCAAGTGAGTTTTCTCATAGCCTAGTACTAAACTTCCTCAGGATATCAGCAACATTGTAACTCTTTCTCTCTCTTGGGAAACTAAAGTACTCGTAAAACATTCAGGAAATATTATCAAGGAGGAATAACTGTTACGCTGTTACATTAAGCATTTCACAAACAGTAAATTTAGAAAGAAACTCTCTTTTAAATTTTCGTTGTGTTATCTGAGAGAAGGCGGCGGGGCAATAAGAGCTTCGTTTGTTGTTTATTCTATTCGTGTCATACTTAACCTAACATTACCACAGATCTTACCGTAATTCTAAGTAGCTATTGTGTAGTTCTACTATTAATACCTTGTGGGGTTATAAGATATTGGTTCACACTCAGGATGGGTTGGAGAAGGGAAACTCACAATGTGCTCTCTGTATACATATTATATTGGATGTACAATGCAGCTTGGTACAAGCTGGAGTAGTGAGAGCTGGTAGGGGAGCTATGCTCAGAGGAGGTGTTGCTTGCTGGTGGCTGTAGGTCGAAGGAGGTGTTGCTTGCTGCGGCTGAGCTAGAAAAGAGGGTGGTCACGGCGGGGTGAGGTCTTATACAGCGGGGGTAGGCGTGGGTTGATAGTTGACCTCCGCCCCATGTTAGGCGGCGCTGGTTGCCGACCTAGGCCACGAGGCACGCTGGGGAATTCGAAGAGGGTCGGCTGGTCAGCGACATGGCGGTTGTAGGGGAGGAATCCACTACAACCTTAAGAATCTCCTCAATAACTGAAGCACAGAAGCACGTAAAAAAATAAACAACACAATATAGTTATGTTTGTGTATATGGAAGCACAATTTTTTTTCGGTATGACGTAAATACTGTATAGTACTGTACATTCTCTCCGTTTACTATCCACACCCATATCCTGTCCACTGTCTATCTCACAGTGTCCTGAACATCCTGTGGCCCCTACCTAACCTCTCTGTCCCTTACTGTCTCTTGTGGCAGCTGTGGATGTAGTTGAGTTGACTGTACTGTACAGTATAGCTTTTCCGGGCCAGTGTGATTGATTACATTCATAGCTGTTGAAGCGCAGTAATGCATTATAACATTCTCACCGTAGTAGCTGACGTCACTGTGTTGTTAAGTCAACTCAAGTGTCCTCCTGCCCTGACCAGACGAGAAAATTCTTATTTTTTATTTTTGTTTTTTTAGTTGTAAGTCCGCCTCATCACACACGCTGCCAGACGTACGACCAACCCTCAACGACGCAACTATGGTTAATTCTCAAATACATTTTTATTATAAACTCCATTTAAGATCTAATTACAAATTAATGATACTTAACCTAACCTAACCTAAAACCTAATCAAACAGCAAGGGTTTTATGGAGAAGTCAAATACGTGTATAAGAGCTCTCAGGTAACACGGAAATTACTACTGATAAATACTGACCTATAAGATAACTAATAGATTACGAGGAAATATTACTTTCTTGTTAATCATTTATGGTTAATCAGTACAACAACTCTTGAATATTTGACGCAGTTACCCCTTGTGTGTGTGTGATGATCGACACAACTTCAGATAACAGCGATAGTGAACACCTCAACAATTGGATCAACTACAGCACGTGTACCTAATATACTACGTCTTAAATACCTGAGAGTAATAACTGATCTTTAGCTATTGTTAAATCTACATATAACACCTTCACGACATTTATATATTATACGCTTCTACTACATGTTTATATGTGACTCTATTTGGGCATTCATTGATGACTGGCAACGATTTTATGGCAACGACTACCTGTACTGTCGCGACGGAGTACACTTGTCTCGTGAGGGGGTAAAGACATTGTCTGCATCCCTGGAGCGTGAAATTGTCACTCCGAAGGGGGGGTTTCGCCAGTAGAGAGGGGTCGGGGAAAATGGGAGTCAAAAAACAAGCAGGTCCTGGGAAGTAGTGAAACAGAAGTAGATAATGCTGAAAATATAGTTAGTCATAATAACAAACATCAAAGTAATAAATGTAAAACAGATAGAAACGGAAGAAATATATTGAGTGTTTATTATACTAATAGTAGAAGCCTGTGTAACAAAATGGACCAGCTCAGGCCATTGTTAGTAAAGAGAACATAGATATAATTGCAATAACGGAAACATGGATAAATTCAAACAGCAAAGCATTTTTAGCAGAATTTCATATTCCAGGATATAACCTATTTAAATTTGACAGAGTAGGAAGGAGAGGTGGCGGTGTAGCAGTGTATATCAGGGTGTCATTAAAAAGCTGCAATAAATCAAACATTAAAACAAATAGCGACAATGAAAGTATTTGGGTAGAGATTGGTGAGGGCAGTGAATCCGTAGTCATTGGTGTTATATATAGACCACCTAATTTGAGTAGGAACGATGGTAAATTGCTATGGGAGGAAATAAAGAAGGCATCTGATAGAAACAATGTATGTATTCTAGGCGATTTCAACTTTTCAGGCATAGATTGGAAAAATCAACTTAGCGATAATGAATCTGAAGATTTTCTAGAAGTAGTACAAGATAGTTTTTTATATCAATTCATAAACTCGCCCACTAGAGGAAATAATATCCTCGATTTAGTTCTCAGTAATAATGAAAATCTAGTAAAAGATGTTGGGATTGGAGACGAACTAGGAAACAGTGATCATAAAGCCATATATTTTAACATAATATGGGATGGCAGGAAGAAGGAAAATTCGGCCTTGATCCCGGATTTTAGGAAGGCTAATTACGGTAGCTTAAGGAGAGACCTAAGGATGACCCTATGGTCAAAAGATTAATCCCCCCCACACCTCCGGAAACTGTCAACTTAGGACGGGATAACCCCGAATTTAATTTAGCAGCTACTTATGAACAATTTATTGCAACAATCAATAATGCCAAAATAAACACATCCCTAAAAGAAAATTCAGATCGATACGGAACCAACCAAAATGGATGAATAATAGACTCTTAGATCTTCTAGGGAAAAAGAAAGGAGTATATAGAAAAGTTAAGAAAGGCAAAAATCACTTACTTGGTTACTATCAGAACCTAACAAGACAGGTAAAAACAGAAATTAGGAAAGCAAAGAGAAATTATGAAATCAAGGTAGCAACTAGTCAAAAAAAGAAATAACCCCAAGCTTTTTTATCCTTTATAAAATCCAAGGCTAGAATACTAATGGGTCATAAAACTAGGACAGGAGAAATGACTGACGGTATGAGTTAGAAATGTGTGATACGTTTAAATAGTCATTTTCGCTCCGTATTCACAAATAAGAAAACCTAGCACCAGTTTCCAGAAGTTCTGGGTATATAACGACGAAGTATAGAAAATATGTTAGTGAATATCAATATTACTAGTAACATTATTGGCAAAGTAATTAACAAACTGAAGCCTCATAAATCACTGGTCGATAAATTTATGTATGCTAAATATTAAAGAATGTAGAGATGAGTTGAGTAATCCAAATTAGCAGTTTTTATTTAATGAAAGTCATTAGAATCGGGCCTAGTGCCAGAAGCTTTAGAAACTTGCAAATGTAGTTCGATTTTCCAAAAAGAATTGATAATTCAATGGCATCAGAATTACCGTCCCATTAGTCTCCATCAAAATCACTTAAAATAAGTTACAAGTCAGCGTTATTGCTACTGAAACAAAGAAGCCGCTAAACATTAACCCAATTCATTCTTCTCCTTTGGGTTCACCAAGGGACGATTCTTTGTCTCTAAATTTGTAGCTTTCTCAGAAGTATATGAGCGGTAGATAATGATAAGTCATATGACTATAATTTGTTTTAGATTTAAGTAAAAGCATTCGATAGGAGTCCCTCATAGAAGTTGATGATAGAAGGTAAAGCACATGGAATAGGTGGATCAATAAAATGGATTAGGTCATGGTTTACTGGTAGGAAACAAAAGTCGCATAAATGGATGATCAGACTGGGAAGTTGCGGTCAAAAGCGGGTTTAGGGATCTTATGATGGGCCTCTTGTTATATTCATTAATGATCTTGATTTGGAGGCACATAACTAGTAGGGGATTAATGAATTTTGCAGATGATGCCAAAATGGGAAGTGAAGTAAACTCAGACCCAGTGACTTTGAACACCTTCGAAAGAGATCTAGATACCGCCTGAAGTGGTCGGTAGACTGCTGATAAGATTTTAATACTGATAAAATGCAAGGTACTGCAGATAGGAAACTTATTTAAACGTTAAGTATAAACTGATGACACGGAAATAAACTCAAGTTTGTGAAAAAGATCTAAGGTGTATTTGTTAGCAACGACTTGAAACCCCTGAAAACAATGTATTAGCGTTCGCAACAAAGGCAAACAGGATTCTTGGGTTCATATCTGGAGTCTTGAGTAACGAGCTTCTTTGACGTTATCTTGAAACTTCCCTAGCATTGAAAGGTGAGCCACACATAAGTTAATGCGGTTCAGTTCACCAGGGTGTCTGTATTATAGAATGGACATAGATTCTTTGGAGAAATTACAAAGAAGAATGACCAAAATGATCCATAATAAGTAGAGCCTTCCATATGAAGAAAGGGAGCTAGAAAAGCTTGAGCATTTCATGTTAGAGGCGTAGAGTTAGGGAGATATGATAGAGGGTGTACAAATTGGGTAGAATGGGATTGGCGCAAGGGTAAAATGTGGAAGATGTTCACAGGAAACTCACGGTAATAACGAAAATAACTTCTAGAACAAATGGCTTCAAGTGGAGATAAATTCAGTTCAGAAAGGGATATAGGCAAGCACTGGTTTGGTAATAGAAGTTGTGGTTATGTGGAATAGGCTACCGGAAGGTGCTATAGTAGATGATCGAGGAGGACTCAGGGCTTCAAAGAATTGAGGTTACAGTTGACATGGCCCTGTATGGGCCAGTCGGCCTCCTGCAGTATCCCACTTTCTTATGTTCTTATGTTCTTATTACATGTGTAAATACATGACATACCTACATATATTTTTTAAGGAAATACAGATAAACATCAGAAATTTAAGTATTTATTTTTGGTAAATGTTTATAAAAATTATAAAACATGCCTTTGGTTCAATAAATTGCACAATACAACATATATAAATATTTACATACATTAACACTAAGAATTAACAGCATCTAAAACACTGATATTGTCTCAGTCATGTTAAAAACTTTGGGGATATACAAAAAATATATAATGTGTACCATAATATTAAATTTTAACATCTTATAAATTTTAATTAAATGTTTTTCATCGTTAATGACTTGTATACCATCAATAACTTCTTGTACTGTATAAATGAATGTCCCTACTTCAACAACTAGGGTCATTAAGCACATACCATTAAATGAGGAGAGAGATAAGACAACAATTATAAAAAAATATTTAAGAAAGTAATATTTTTCATCATCAAAAGTTTCAATTACTGATGGTTGAGTGAACGTTGGTGTTTGTTACCTATTACTCTTCTATTTAATCACTTATATTAGTTTAGTTAATCACTATATAGTCTCAACAAGTATAAGTGATTCAGTATAGGGACTTAGCCATTATCTCGTCTCGTGAGAATTGTTACTATCAAACTACCTGATTCAGTGGTTCTTGTTAACTCGATAAATGAGAAGACTTGACCCCCCCAGTCAGGGTCACCAGGGGGGGGGGGGGACATGCCTCTCCGGTTATCAGGGACGACCAATGCAAATGACACTTGTCGTTAAGGGCCCTAGTATGTACTGACACTTGTCGTTAAGGGCCCTAGTATGTACTATCACCTAAAAAAACGGTCGGGTTAATAAACTCAAAAGTTGAACTACCTCAAACATGTAAAATACTCGTATAAAAAAAATGTAAACTACTCGTATAAAATAAGAAAAATCTCACAAAGGAAAAACTGATCACGATAGGCCTCTTAGTCGACGGGGGGGAGGGGGAGACAGCGAGTGTTGTTATCGTTTAATAATACAGACACAATTATTCTACTTATGGGATTTGAAGTAATGTCTTGAGTCTTGATATTAACACAATTTAGTTCACCGGGTCAGATTCTTATCGCGATGCTGTTTCTTAGTATTATTTGAAGTGACTAAATTTCCAACAGCGATTCTTAGGAGAGATTAAAACAACATTGGATGATGATGGATGGTTATTGGGTGAATTGATGGATAATGATTTACTGTACAACAATGGATGATGATGGATGGTTATTGGGTGAATTGATGGATAATGATTTACTGTACAACAATGGATGATGATGGATGGTTATTTTGGTGAATTGATGGATAATGATTTACTGTACAACTATATATGACTCAATAGGTCGGCCACTCACGCCAGCCCTAAGTCTTGATACCGTGGGAGACTTTCGTCGTAGTCAGTAGGAACAGCGAGGGGCAAGGAGCTACCAGGAATCACAGTAGCGCCGGTGCCTTGCTGAGAGGACGACTGACTGGTGGAGGGGAGGTTCGCGGGAAGGGTATACGCTCTGCCAGGTCTTATATGGATTTCAGTTATCCCAGATGTAAACAGGAAAGGTTGTCTGCCTTTTGGAGTCACATAACCACCTGAAGAACTACCACCCTCACTTATAACGTACACAGTGTCGGCCGTGGGACTTGTGGCGCCGTGGACTCCAACTTCTGAAGAGGATGTCCAGATGGAGTTTATATTTCTTCTGGGAACGACAACTTTATTTGGGGGGGTTATTGTACCTTCCAGTTCTTCCCTCAAGCTGTCAGGGCTCTTCTTGATGTACTCGAGTCTCCAGGTGTTGCGGTAATCGGGCGGAGGATCGCTTTGAGGGCTTGAGGTGCCTGAGGAAGGAGTGGCCGTAGAGTATGTCTTCAGTGACAGTTTCAGACAGAACAAAACGAACGCCCAAATGATACCTGAGGAGAGACCAGAACATTTAATTCCCAGCGTCAGATGTTTCTTTATCCTTAATCATATTTTATCTTCATTAGGACTGTTTATTTAAGTGATCACAGTTTGGCTTGAGCTTAGGAACTATCTTGAACGGCCAGAGAACATAGCCTAGCGGGTCATAGTATCGTGAACCACAGCAGGACCTTGACCACCCATGTTCCACAGCACAGGAACTTCCACAATATCTAGTCAAACTACTTGCCATTAGAAAACACAACAGCGCCATCGAGTTCTTGAATAGCATCACGGATATCTCTTACACTGAAGCCTACTGAAGCACCAATTATAATACAAGAAACTCGAAATATCCTTCAGTTTACACTACAGCAACTACTTAACAATGAATCACAATAGGAACAAGATATTTTGCTACTCAATCTCGAAAGACACAGAGCATCCCAGAACTAATTTATTCCCCATGCAGCACCTACACAGAAAGACACAAGCCATTGGTAAAACCTAAATTAAAACGAAAATAAACCCCACAAAAAAAACACGGAAGAATTTACTCACCACTGACACACAGTATGATCATAGATTTCTCCGAGAACCCGTCAACTTGTAACACAGCAATTCCGGCCATTATTCCGGCTATCGACAACACCAGTAAGAAACTCAACACGCATAGCTGTAGATAACAAACACCATAGAGTACATGAACACCACGAGAGGTCTGTTGGGTGTTGTGTTGATATAAAGACATATTGGAAATACAAAATTTATCAACTAGCATTCGAGATTTCCCTAATAAAAAATTAGTTTTAGAATTTGAAATTATTGATAAAATACTACACTTCAAAAACTATATGATCTTTAAGCATGAATAGCAGCAAATAATAAACAAAACAATAATATTCTTAAAAATAAATAAATAAATAAATAAACCACATTTACTCACTTCCATAGATATGTTTTTCCCGCAAATATTAACCATCCTGACAGGTTCCTTATCCTCCCCTAAACGTTATCCGTCAATAAGTGAACGTTACAGCAGGCAGCTTCTATACTATCACCACTTCCTTCTCCGTTCAGTACTCGCCTCTTTCTGACGATCTTCTGAACGTTACCTTTATATATATACACTCCTCACAGATTACTTACGGTTAACGGAAATCATAAAATCCTTTTCTTCTAGTCGTTGATAAGATATGGTGTTCGATTTCCCGCCTTGACACTGGCTTTGGTATAAGATAATTGTAGCTGATACTCTCTTATGACTGGATTTCAATTTTCTCTATCTATCAATCAATCAATCAATCAATCAATCAATCTATCTATCTAATTTATCTATCTATCTATCTATCTATCTACACAAATACAACGAATTTATAATGATTGCCAAACTTCATTATTTGGTTCAGGAAATGGATCTAGAATTCTGGGGAGTTGGTATAGATTGAGAGGATCAGATGAAGATTAGCCACCCCTCCCCCCCACCCTCCCCCTCCCCCTCCCCCTCCCAAGCTTATTTCGCCAGATGATGAAATACACACTTGCACTACCTGGGGGTAATGTCAGATAAGCTTAGTCATCTTTAAGGTGTTTAATCATCTGCTGAAATAAGCTTGGATTAGGTTAGTTTTGGTGAGGTTAGGTTAGGTTAGCATTAGGTTAGTTAGTCATAATGTGAAATATGCTGGGGATAATTTTTAAGGAAAGGTTTAGGTTAGATTAGGTTAGGTTAGGTTAAGTTAGACTAGGTCAGGTCAGGTCAGGTTAGAACATCCGATCTAGTAAAATAAGCTTATCTCCATATCATCTTTGACCACGACCCCCCCCCCCCCTCACAGAACAGGCGGCTGTGTTATCGACCGTATCTAAGAGCTGCGTGTCTTCCCAGCAGCCATGGCAGACTCAATGATTCACTTACTACGTTGTGGTGGAAGTCCTGTCCGTGTATCGAACCCGGAATAGTGAAGATGTGTGCTGTGGCACGTGGTGACGCAGGCGTGTGTGTGTGTGTGTGTGTGTGTGTGTGTGTGTGTGTGTGTGTGTGTGGTCAACAGAGGTGTGTGTGTGGTGTGTGTGGTGTGTGTGTGTGTGGTCAACTGTGTGTGTGTGTGTGTGTGGTGTGTGTGTGTGTGTGTATGTGTGTGTGTGTGTGTGTGTGGTCAACTGGGGTGTGTGTGTGTATGTGTGTGTGTGGTCAACAGGGTGTGTGTGTGCGTGTGTGTGGTCAACTGTGGTGTGTGTGTGTGGTCAACTGTGGTGTGTGTGTGTGTGTGTGTGTGTGTGTGTGTGTGTGTGTGTGTGTGTGTGTGTGTGTGTGTGTGTGTGTGTGTGTGGTCAACTGGGGTGTGTGTGTGCGTGTGTGTGTGGTCAACTGGGGTGTGTGTGTGTGTGTGTGTGTGGTCAACTGAGGTGTGTGTGTGTGTGTGTGTGTGGTCAACTGGGGTGTGTGTGTGTGTGGTCCAGCTGTGTGTGTGTGTGTGTGGTCAACTGGGGTGCGTGTGTGTGTGTGTGTGGTCAACTGGGTGTGTGTGTGTGTGTGTGTGTGTGTGTGTGTGTGTGTGTGTGTGTGTGTGTGTGTGGTTAAGACTTTATGCTGAAATAACCTGGGGAGTAATCTTCAAGTTGGATTATTGTTAGGTTAGGTTAGCATTAGGTTAGGTTACGTAGTTTGGGGGGGGGGCTAATGTTCAAGTGATACCACCACCACCACCAGTCAACCACCCGTGAACATAGATTACCAAGCAAAGTTTTTTTTAATATTTTCATACCTTTATTATCTAATTCTTTTAACACAAGCAGCCAACTTTTTTTTTATACATATTTATGACACTTATGTATACCAGAACTAATATGTATCACTCGGGTTGAGATACATGTTAAGTCATAAAGTGTAGCAATGATTAATAACACGTAATTTTTTTTCGTATGGCCAAGGGGAGAGGGAGTCCATTTAGTGGTGATAAGCTTACACCCATTTTACTACTCGCTGGTAAACTGGAACTGCTGAAGTCAATGTATCTAGTTAAGGTAAAGTCTGATGTCAATTTTTAGGGTTTTTTACCTTCAATTAATCAGTTAGTTTAGTTTAGTTTAGTTTAGTTTAGTTTAGGTTAGGTTAGGTTAGGTTAGTTTAGTTTAGTTTAGGTTAGGTTAGGTTAGGTTAGTTTAGTTTAGTTTAGTTTAGGTTAGGTTAGGTTAGTTTAGTTTAGTTTAGGTTAGGTTACGAGTATTCTTAAATCTTCCCCTTTTGTGTTATCATGTAAATTGACATTGAAACAGCTTACTTACCCAGAAAAAACACAGATAAAGAGTGGATAACAAATAACACCATATCACTTCTGCTTCAACAACTAAGGTCTTGATAACGTTACAATATATTCCTAACACATATCTTATAAAATACTAATCGCCGAGAGTTAATAAGCTAAAGAGATATAACATTGGAGACTTGTGGCCTAGTCTAGATGACATTTTTATTGTCTTATTGTGAATAGAATTATGAATCACGGTAATAAATTAGGTTCACTATTCTCTTATATACAGTATATGCTGACGATAGAGGGATGACGTCATTGAGGGATCATAAGTGTATAGTGAGGAAAAATGGTCAGTTATTATTATTGTTATTATTAGTATTATTATTGGTATTATTATTGGTATTGCTGTTATGATTATTATTATTATCATTGTTATTATTATTATTATTATTATTATTATTATTATTATTATTATTATTATTGTAGTCTTTGCTCTGCCTCAGGGGAACGAGAGCTTCTGCCCCAACTCCGACAACTGCTGCAGATATTGACTATGAGGCTACAGTCACTGAATGCCGTATAGATCTGCGGCTCAACTAAGTTAACACAGATAGGATAGCTACTTATGTATTAGGATATTTAATATTAAGGTAATTAAATGGTGGCGAAGGTGTGGCTATTGGGGGAGGCTGGAGGCCACTTTACAAAAGAAAAAAAAAAAAATAGTAGTAGTTCTTTAACCATACCAATAATCCCTTAAATAAAACTCAATACATTCACAAATAAATATCTTAACAGTATTCGAACCCTTGACTTTCGACTAAAATACGAATTACAACAGAACTCAAACCTACAAGGGATTAACAGTGAGTCAGGCGATGTACTAACTTCCTCTCCCAACTGGACTGCCCCCCCCCCCTCCTCCTTGCATCAGCTGTCGACATAAACACCCATATCAACCTCGCTTATCCGATAGAGTGTGTGTGTGTGTGTGTGTGTGTGTGTGTGTGTGTGTGTGTGTCGACGAATAAATAATATTGAAACGTAATCTACCAAACTGTGTTGAGTTTGGCTAGACAATTGTTTAACCTTACACATACATACATACATACATACATACTTCAAGTTCTGTACTCCTGTAGTCAAGAGAGTGAATTGTCGGTGTGACGTCAGACAAGTTTACAGTACAAGTCCTTCCTTTAACAGAACATCCGTCCTTAATATGTCAAGGTCTACCGTGAGTAATAATAAATAATTATAAACGGTTTATTAATAGAGTTGCAGCCGGTGGCTGAAAATATACAAACTTACATGTGATTTAGACATAATGATATGCGATGAATACATTTACAGGGCTGTACAGTTCATAAATCAGGAGTTGTTTATTATTTTAACAATAGATGGGATGGGGCTGTTCTTATATCTATCGGTGCGGGCTTTTATGGGCTGAATTTTGTTGTAGTGGCGGACTGCGCGAGGTGGGCGGGGGACTGCCGGTGGCAGGAGGTGGCGATGACAAGGATGGTGCAGTAGTCCACTGCCAAACCTTGCTAGTGCTTGGTGGTGGAGGTCACTGAGGGATGTCATTTCCAGGGTGGAGAGAGCGTTGTTGTAGCCGGAGTAGTCTGCACCGAGCATGATTCTGCAGGCCCTTTTCTGTAACTTCTCTAGCTGTGTGTGTGTGTGTGTGTGTGTGTGTGTGTGTGTGTGTGTGTGTGTGTGTGTGTGTGTGTGTGTACTGTACATAAACTACACCTACAGCCACCACTATCCACATATACAAGTATCAACAGAATGAAAGAACAGCAGGATTACCACACTCATTACAAAATTAGTATCTTATCTCGTCCCCGGAAGTACAGTACATTAAGTAGTGTGGGAATCCTGCCTGATAGTAAGACCAGAAAAAATTACACCTCTTTTCCCCGTCTACTACTTGTTATAAAAGTTATCTTATTTACTAATGCTACAACTATCAGATACTCTCAGTTCTTCTATAGATCAGCGGTAATGATTTTAACTTGTGGGTCGGATAGGTCTGGGTAAGAAGTCTAAATTTTTGCTTTCTTTACATACCGTCTCATTGGTCAGTCTATCAGCACAGTCATGATTCCTAATTCCAACACGGGATGGAATCCAAACACGTCCAATACCAAGGGTTGTTTTTCATAGTAGTTATCACATTTATTCGACTATAATAAGGTAATATGGGAGTCGCAGAATATCACCCCACCTCCACTTTCTTTAAGATCTGTGGTTAAAAAAGATTCCCATGACCTCAGTTTGTGTCGTGTTGGCCTGGTTGTTCAGTCTTTGTTTATTTGGCACACTCATCTCATTCTCTTTATATATACTACACAACCTGTTCTACCTGTGTTTACCTGTACAGAACCAACAATAAAAGCATAACATTCCATAACATTATCTTAATTTAATAGATTCAAATACTACACATTTGACCACATCAGTACTTAACATTTGCTTATTACTAAAAGGAGTTAAATTAATATCGACTGGTGTTACATCTAGCTAAGGAGGAAAGGCATTGATGACTTCAGCTTGAGTGACTTGACTGCTTGACACGTTCAGCTTGAGTGACTTGACTGCTTGACACGTTCAGCTTCAAGAGATCAGTGACACTCTTATGAGGCCACGCCTCTAGAGAATCTTTGGTTTAATCTTTATCATTGTTTGTATACCTGCCGTGTCTAGGTACATTGTTTGTATACCTGCAGTGTCTAGGTTCATTGTTTGTATACCTGCAGTGTCTAGGTACATTGTTTGTATACCTGCAGTGTCTAGGTACATTGTTTGTATACCTGCAGTGTCTAGGTACATTGTTTGTATACCTG